AACCGCAGAGAAGAGACCACACCAATGACAAGACATCACCAGCCGCTTCACCCCCACCACCAAGCACTCAAACGAAGACGATGAGCACGAGGACATGAAAGGCAGGTGTTGACTGGGGTTCAAACTGTGGCAGTGGGCTCATAACCAGTTGCCTAGCGCAGTGGTCAATGGAGATGACGGCTAATGCACACCAAGCAGAAGGAGCCTTGAGGGTAACACGCAGAGTCTTTTCGCACGTGTAGGGCAGTGATCGCCCTAAGCTGATTGGGCAGATCTTCGGATCTTCTTAGGCCACGGGCCTACCTGGGCTCCCTGCACAGACGCCTCTGTCCAGCTGTGGGCGTACACATTCCGCAACACCCCTCTTCGCACACAGCCCTAGGAATCATGGAGCCCTAAATCCGAAACCCTTCGCTTTGAAGTCCCCGGGTCAGGTTGTGGCTTCGCTCCTCCACATGTGTGCGGCTGTTGGACAGTCAGAGGACGGCAACCGAGCCAACCCACCAATGAACGGTTCCATCCGGAAGCAGGAGCGGTGCCTCATGTGTTCATCTCCCTCTCGATGGGTCACACACACACATCACTGTGGGACTCTCTGCTTCCCTAGTCCACCTTGCGCCTCTTCTTGCTATCACTCTTTGATGTCTGACGCTTTCTCTTCTGCCTTTCAGGCTCTGTCATCAGCCCATCGCTGCTGAGAGTGATGCCATCCGCTCCTCTCGTCACCATACACGTCAACTTCGCGTGCTGTGAGGCAGGGAGCGACTTCTTCAGGAGATCAGCAACATTCTCCTTCGACGGCACGTACTCGGGCCTTATCTTCCCGTCCTGGTAAGTGCTGCGCACATGATGGTACCTGATAGCAACATGCCTCGTCTTCTTTGAGGCCTGATGGTTCTTGATGTTCTGTATGCAACCATCGTTGTCGCCATACAGGACTGTGGGTGGCACCTTGAAGCCCAGCCCCTCCATCACTTGCATCAAGTACAGCAGCTCACGAGTGCAGTCACTCGCAGCGATGTACTCTGATTCTGTGCTACTCAGAGCCACAATCGACTGCGTTCTGCTCG